CGGGGATGTTATTTCATGCAACCAACAGCATGCAGCATGGATGACCAGATTTCATTGCAATTGTGTAATCAGACTGTCATATTTCATTGTGTATGTATATCTAAGGATGCACTTTTCGTAAAAGTATCTACAACGACTACAGATCGCTGGGAGACATGCCCTAGCTGCACCCCTCATCAGCATAATGTTGAATCCAGTGACTAAAAAGCATTTCACGCACGCTCAGACGTCATTGACACGTGATTTTTCCGAATTGTTTTTGTTTTGTACCCGGCACCCACAGTTCTTGGTCAAGTCGAGTCCGGAACTCGGTCGCCGCTTGGTGTAAACACCACGTGTCAAAAACACGGCCGAATATTCGTCCTGCTGCTGAGACAATGCTCAATCATCACGTGCCTTAAGCCTGATAGAAGTGATGATATCGCACGCAGTGCCATTATGACTTGACTGGTTTCGCTAAACGTGTTCATCTGTTTATTTGGTAAACCATATTTTCAGAACTTTGTTCATTTTCACGGTGAGTATTTGTTTCATGAATAGATTTTCTCTCACATTCCAAATACGACTAGTTTGGGGATAACATTTTGCAGGGTTTTTAATGACCTAATTATCTAATGACGTCTAATATCCAATGAATGGCGGAGCTGTGGATCGGAATTGCTTTGAATTAAGAAAAGTGTTTGTGGTTCATTAAAACAAATAACAATAAGTTTCATGAAAAGATAACGGGTGGGCCATTACAAAATCTGTAAATAACATCGAATAAACGGCATGGTAAATATTATGTCAAAGCGAAGTAACCGTGCACTGCGTGTGTGATTCGAACCGACGCTAGCATACTGCATCTAATTGTTTTTCCTTGTAGTACATTTTTTGATAAACTTGATGAAAGTTTTTATTTACACGGTGGGAACTATTTTTTCCTAAGATTTAGTCCTGCAGATTTTTTTGACTGGTTGATATAATTGTCTAATTTTGAAAAATCTGGAATGTGCAAAGAATCCCTATTTTTCGTATACTCTGGTAGTAAATCTTTTCATCCTATCATTTTGATGATTCTAGTAAAACCTTTTCTGACATTACGCTCACAATATCTGTGGTGCTTTGATATCGCATAATATATTTGTCAATGCTCAACGAGAATTTAAAATACAGAACATACACATGTTTTATTTCAGTAATGATTGTCTAGAATAAGTGTGCTTGGTTTGATATACAATGCAAATTCAAAGATGATAATGTACGGTGATTTTGCCAAACTATGATGATATGGCATTCAACTGGGATAACGATTTTCGGGATTAACGATTATGGAGCGAATTACAAACACATATTTGATGCTTCCAGTTGTGTTTGTTGTATTACAATGTTGTTTACTATTTTACTTTTTTTCAGAACATCATCTGCATTTGTGAACAGTTTTGGATTGAAATAAGAAAGGTAAAGAATGTCTAATAAATTTCATCTCCATTTGACAATATTCTGTTGTATATCAGCGAATAGTCATGCATTGACCAAACCATGTTGTTGCAGCTTGTGCTCCATATCAAGTAATTGTCACATGTAATGTTCAAAAGGGGTTAATGTCAAACTTTTATTTATGGAATATGAATAAGCGTATTCTGCAGATTTAGTTTTTAAAGATAATTGTGTGATGTTGCAGTCACAACAATTGAAACTTATTCTGACACCATGTAAATTTATTCTTTGACAGTTTCTTGCAAATGCGAAACACTCACTCCATGATGTCACTGAAAGGGCAAGAATTGACAAAATGATCCTAATATAATGGAAGAGCTCCCAAAGACATGAACCCAAGCAATATTCTGAAGTACGACAGCTGTAAAACTAAAAAGCTGAAATCAAATCATGTAAAATTGAATAAATTATGAATCTTGAACAGAAACTTACGCACTGTAACTTAGATGACTCATGTAGTAGCAGGACAATTGTTTATTTGTTTAGTGCAATAAAATATAGTGTTAAGTGAAATACTTGTACAGCATCTTCACTTCTTTAGCAGTACATATAATAAAACAATTCCCAACTAAGTGGCTTTTAAAGATCTATGGAGGTGGAGAGTGTCAGCAAAGTTCTGTAAATGGAGTTGGGGTGGCGAGGGCTAGCAAGGTACTATATATGTTAATGGAGAGTGCTAGCAAGGAACCGTATATGGAAGTCTTTGTGTTTGACGCAAAAGAAAGTGATGGTGATGATGAACCAGGCATATAAATAATGGAAACCCTCTTTATTAACGGCAAGAAATATAAGCATCCTTGAATAACATTTTAATGTTGGGATAAAATCCACCAGCAAGATAATATTTTGGGGGGATTTTGGGGCCGCCTCTTAAATCATTTTTTGATAATGACTTGACCTGCCCACTCGCTGAACTCCGTGATCTTTCTATGCAATCCTTCTGAACAATTTTATATCATCAGGACTATAATTACTATATATAATATATATAGTAAACCAAATTACAGGTCAAGCCTTGTATCTAATTTTACTGTAGAAGAATTATTTCAAACTTTGACTTGAAGCATGTAATCAAATACAATACTCAATACAGGAAACATTGAACATGGAAGACATAATCTGTTTATTGTATTATTGCATACCGTAATTCTCGTGACAATCTGTATGGTTATTTATATTTATTGGCGACCATGATTGTTGACTTTATTCAATATCAGCTTGCTCATTACCAGTATCATATAGCCTATCTAGGCACCCCTAGGTCGCTTGTTATTGGCACGGCACATAAATAGTAACAAACGCCAATTTTGTAGTTTAACAGGCATAATGAGATATCTGCGATTCAGGCGAATGGCATAAACTGTGCGGGTGATTCTACACAACAGCTATATTGAATGCAATTGCTTTCAATTGAATGAAAGTATCATTTATACACATATCTGTCATTAAGATAAATAGCAACGTAAAAGTTCATCCTAACGCAGTTAGAATAGACAGAATATACACTGGTGAATTACTGATAATTATAATATTATAACATTCCCACGCTTTCTTCCATATGGTTTATTTTAACAATATATACACCTAATATACCAATGTGCTCCGTGACAACCTATTTGTTCATCAAGCGAGGATATCAGTGTTTTCAAATGCTATATCAGTTGAACAAATATTCAATTTTCACATATGGTGTGATATATTTTATCCTATTTATATCTGTTGATTATCTGCTTCATTATATATGTTATCATTGGTGATAAATTAATACACTTTATAAACGCGTAAATGTATCTACATATTGTTCATATTGTCCGAGATTCGACTTTGGCATTTCCAACTAGTCACTTTTAAGGGCAGTGCTCACTACACACTATTTTTAAGGCAGTCAGTGGGTTCGGTGTTATAGCGTGACTGCCTGTAGCGGCGAGGCGCTTGCCACGATCGTAATCTCCCATCCCGTATAGCATGTCCAATGTTAATTTTTGTCCATAGAAAAATTAAATCAAAGAAAGCTTAGAAAGAACTCCCATGTGCTGAGAGTATTGGAGACACATTAAATATAATTCAAAATTACTTGTACTTGATTGAGATAGTAATGGAAAAACTGAAAACTTATAATGCAAATCAGAAAATTAATATGAACAGATTTGAGTGTAAAACTAATGAGGCCTGCGCAATGTAACATCTATGTACCAAGTTTTATTGAAATGTGATTGGAACCAACAACATTTATGAATTATTATGCAAATTAGGGAATTAATATAAACAGATTTTAACCTCGAACTAATCAGGTTTGTACATTGTCATGGAGCATCTTTGTACTAAGTTTCATTGAAATGGAATAATTAGTACTTTAGATATCAGTGTGATGGCTTAAAAATGGTTAATTATGCAAATTAGTAATTAATATGTACAGATTTTAACCCACAATTATCCAGGTCTGTCTATTGTCCTATAGCATCCATGTACAAAGTTTCATTGAAATGTGATGATTAGTACTTGAGAAATCAGTGTGAAAGCTGCAAATTAATTTAATTATGCAATTTATGTAATTAATATGCACAATTATTTATCCTAAAACTAATCAGGTCTCTGGGTAGTCCTAAAGGATCTATGTACCAAGTTTCATTGAAATGTGATGATTAGTACTTGAGATATCTGTGGAATAGCTGAAAATGTATCAATTATGCAAATTAGGTGATTAATATGCACAAATATTTATCCAAAAACAATACATCTCTGCACATGGAAGTAAAAAAAAAATGTGCTTGTTGTAGATACTAAACTGTTCTTTTATTCCATTGTTACAATGAAATTAAATATTGGTGAAACGTAATATTTATGAAATAAAAAATAGATCGGTACACAATAGCGAAATTAACCATCACGTAATTTCTTAGACAAACGCTGGTAAGACATACGCACTATCGTAGTCATCTATATCTTCAGCTTAAATACGTGACCAATTCTATAACCACGCCCTCCAGTGACGGAAGCTTCGGAGACGTCAACATGACGGAAATGGATGAAGTGTGTTTTGGAGCGTGTTTGTTTTTTTCATCAACAATTTGAATGTTCAATAACATGAAAGACCACAGATTAAACCGATATCGACGCTTTAACATAACCACTAGAGGGCGTGATTTGGGGGCATGGGGATTGGTTATAGTAGGAATGTGCTACCCAATTGACGCTTGTTCGCGTAATGTTCAGTAATGCAACTGTTTCAAATAACACTCAGATTTTATTATTGTTCTCAACAGATTAGATGGTTCACCCTGAAACAAACTGTGATACGTGCTATTTTACATTTGTGAACGTAGTGGAATCGCCTCGCCCGCTGGCCTCGGAACATCTTACCTAGAACGATCAGTTTTGGTAATTATACTTTACTTAATTTATTTTCGCTTTCGAAACATTTTCTCAGAATAAGTAGATATTACGAATATTCTAGAAACCCATTATCATCATTTTATATAATACTATTTCATATATATTAACTTCGTCTCATGCTAGCCACGATGACGGGCAGTTGTAAAGAATCACTGTGGAAGACGTCACTGCCCAGGTCTTCTGTTTTATACGCATGCGTGTTTATAAATACTGTTTTCATAGCAGTCATGATTCTGCGTCACGACGTAAGAGGTACGTAATAAAAATGCATGCTCATAACCATTGATGTTTTTGTATCACAACGTAGCGGGCGAATGGAAACATGAATATTGTCCGAGAATGAAGGATCCACGTTCATGTACAATAATACGTTACAAGTTTTTATAGGCGCATATCGATTTAAATGATCCTAGTGTTAAAATACAAACACACGGAAAAGGATAGATAGTGTTTATAAGTTCCTACAAATGTATTTTGATCTGACATGAAGCACTGAGTAGATTCTAAAAAAATAAATCAAAGTTACAAGTTTCTGTATTGTTATAACAATTATTTGTTTGTAACGATTGTTTATTTATACATGTGGGTCTACAACGCCTCTTGGGTCGGTCTGTAGTCTTTGTGATGATATTTTAGTAATTTCTCGAATATTTGAATCCTTCGAATCAGTTTTGAAACGGTTTATTGTGAGTGTTAAATGAACATATTATCGATTTGTGATATTTTCGTTAGTTTATGTGCGATACCATCTAGCGTCGAGCATTTGTGTTACGCAAGTCTGTGGAAGAAATCATAGCTTTTCTGTGTCGACAAAATACTGATATCCGAAAATAAGAACACCGAATTATCAGAAATGACTGAAATAGAATCACAACGACTTAAGACAGACACAAGATGAGATATAATGGTGGTGAGCTGATGCACTTTCTTGTTATTTTTTGTTTTACTTCATTATCTTAATTTTCATTTTTCTGCATAATATTTTTCAGACATATTGACTGTTGGTATAAAACAGCAGAGGGTCGATTACACTCGGATACCGGGAAATACTGAAATGCATTCTACTAGTAAGAAGGTGAAAAGTGAAAAACATATCATCATATTGGCGGGCAAACGAACAGGGTCTTCGTTCCTTGGAGAAATTTTAAACCAAAATACCAAGGTCATGTACATGTTTGAGCCTCTGTTCCACTTTACGGAAAAGGTGCTTAAGGGTGACATGAATCCCGATATATTTGATGCAGAATCTGTCGAATTGGTTGACAGTATATTTAAATGCGATTTTAATAATAGTCGTTTTATGACACGCCTGCACCCATTGTTTTGTTCCACTAGTAATGCGCTCTCTAAGTCGGCGTTGTGTGGGAAACATAAGGTGCCAACAGACGATATTGTAGTTGAAAACTTTACAAATGTCTGTCGCACGTATTTGTACAAGGCTCTAAAAACGATACGTATATATGATATCGAACTCCTGCGGTCGCTGGCAGTAGATCCAGCATTGAACTTGAAAATTATACATTTAGTGCGCGATCCAAGGGGAATAATGAACTCACGAGAAAATTTAAATAGTAAAAACTTGGATTTTGAAAGAAAAGACGTCGAGTGGGACGAAGTTACGGATTTATGCAAGGATATAAAGAAGAATTTAAATATCGTTTCTACGTCTGCGTCTTGGCTAAAAGGTCGTTATATGCGAATTAGATACGAGGACGTAGCGAAACACCCTCACTCCAAGGCTGAAGACATTTATGATTTTATTGGTTTAGAAATGCCAACAGAAGTCAAGCAGTGGATTTCAGAAAACACAAATCAAACAAAAGGAAACCAGTTTAGTAGATCTCGCAACTCTTCTGTTGTAGCAACAAAATGGCGAAACGAGATGCCGTTTTCGGATATTCTCAGCATACAGAAGAAATGCTCTATCAGTATGGCGTTGCTAGGATACAAAGAGGTTAAATCTCCGACAGATTTAAATGAAGAGACGAACGTGCTGGGACCATTACCCGATTATTTGAGTTAAACATCGCCTTACGTTGGGTATTATCGATTTGAACAAGAACATTCGTAACATAAAGGTGAATAATTGTTTCATATGCCAAACGTTATCACAACATTTTTCCCCGAGACCTCTAGCCAATCTGTAATTCCATATATTTTTCCACAATTAACACAGAACGGATAAAAAAAATACATACAAATTAAAAATGTGGCGCTGAATGGTTAGAATAACCCGGAGCCGACGCCATATTATTATGTGGAAGAAAGTAGTTTCTGTTTCATGCTTATCACAAAGCGAAAATAAAGCATGTAAATACATTCTTCACGTATGATTGTATCTAGTTATACTAAATTGGAAATCGTTAAAAAACGGGATACAATTCCACTATTACGTGTTTTACGGTTGTCATCATGGATAACCACACTGTAGTCAAGAATGGGTGGGTGAGTCATGCTCATATTCCTCACGGATCTCTCGAACGGTTTCATTTATTGAATGGCTTCAGCATGGTAATATCGTGGTTATAAGCCGGTAGTTACGTAACACTGTCACAAAGTACTGCGTAATGCTCGTAAAAGGTAACGTGAAAGACGTTGTATTATTTGATTCACCCATAATTGGCCTCTAGAGGGCGAATGCTACAAGGATAGAAATGTGACTAGTCATACTGTGACATTCCATGATGAATAGTGCATAAATGCAAAGTATGCTTTTGTTTTATTTAAGTAAGAGCTCTGATTAAGCATGAGCAAACTATAAAGTACAGATAAGTTTTTAATTGTAAACTTGCAAAAAAAAAACATTGATAAAATAGAATAGATTCAATTTGAATGTAGTGTTCGGGAATAGGGTAAAAAATAAAGTTGTTTACTTGGACTTGAGTCACAATGTATTTGACTAAACATGCAACACGCTACACAAACGGTAGAATGACGCGATGTCGGTAAACGGTACCGAATTATAATTTTACAACTTTCCAGGTGCTATCTCAAGCACTGGTGCCGTATATACGGTATTCGGTTCTGTACTTTTGGGGGCGCTATACCTACAGGATTGGTTGTTCTAGGAAGCTGACAAACGACCATTAGATGTTATTCCATGCAGTTACGTGACGGTGTAAATTTCTCAGTCTTTCTTCGTGGCCTTTTTTGGTGACGTTTCTCTATATGTTTTTAACATGACTTCCCTCACTTCGTCTGAGAGTTCCTGGACATCAGAAAGTTTTCTGCCTTTGGTACTTATTGGAGGTAGAATAGTCATTGTAAATTCAACTGAAAAAAATATATGATGACAATGCGTGCATTACATTTGTGATGAGTTGTGTTTTTCGAGTTCACATGAAAAACTAGTTTTCACTTCAATCACCAGGACTTGAGCTGTGGTGTCATTAGGCTCAGTCATACAACAACATTAACGATAAGCAGCGAGGATCTGTGGAAAGTGTTGAATATTCATGAGGGTCAGAAAAATCCCAGCATGCAGAGCGTTATGCAGATTTGCGTTTTGGTGTAACCAACGAACTAGGACTAACAAGATCTCGAGCCAATTTGCGACTATCATTCAGTTCGTGATTCAAACAAATATTTTCAACCAGAAATGGTAATCATAGTTTCACACTGATGACCAATCACGTTACTATGACCACGTGATATCTTACCTGGTTGAAATAGATATTCCTTGGGATTGTAACTGTCTTTGTAGTTGGAAAACACCACAGGTACAATAGGAATCTGAGTAGCAAAGTAAATACACAATGATGCGTTATATATCGATTGTGTTATTTCGAAATACCATGGTATCATTACAATTCTTACTGTGACAATATTTAGATCCCAAGGCGATAATTCAAAACTATCGTCTAGGAGAATGATTGTCAGTTACCTCTAGCTCAGTTATTCACGAGTACTGGTAACCAATCACATTGTTGCGGGATCGTAAACCTTCGCACATTATCCTAGAGTGGTCAACTTACTGTTCTGGGCGAAATCAAAGAACATACTAGCCACAGTCAAATTACCGACCTGAATGACATGTATATTTTATCACGAACATCAGAACTTTCAAATGAGAATAATTTAAAGGACGGTAGTCGTCGCGCCACGCATTCGCGAGATATATGGGTCTCATATAAACGAGTACAAACTGAGACGTTACCAAGCTTCAATTAGGTATTCTTTTAGGTGATTGGAAGGTGTGAAGGAGCCTCCGGCGGTAATTAGTGCAGTCGCGCCCTGGTCAAACCTCATACTTGTGATTCCATTAAAAGAGCGCGTTGGATTGTGGGAAAATCAATGTTTATCAACACAAATGTCGCACATGCGCAGCGCGACGACTGTCACCCTAAAAGCTGATTTTGTCCATTTCACCGGGGTACAGGATAATACGAGAACTAGGCTTGATTAGTCACGGTGTGTTTTCACCTTTTTACAATGTGTTTAACAGTCTTGCGATTCCAATACAGAGACGTAGTTTCTCTGATTATCATGTCAGTATACACGGTATATATTCTGCTTCTACTGGCACGCGGTAGTCGACATAAACTCACTCCGTGGTAGAAACGAATTCAAGCGGTGGTCGAAATAATTCACTCGGTTGTAGAAACGAACTCAATCGGTAGTAGACACGAACTTACTCGGAATATAGAAACGAATTCAATCAGTAGTAGAAAATAATTCACTCGGTCGTAGAAACGAACTCAAATTTGCAGTAGACACAAAATTAATCGGTAGTAGGCACGAACTCACTCGGTTGTAGACACGATCTTACTCGGGATTAGGATAAGCACTCACTCGGTAGTAGACACAAACTCACTCGGAACGAAGACACGAATTCACTCGGTAGTAGAAAAGAATTCACTCGGTTGTAGAAACGAACTCAATCGGCAGTACTCGGGATTAGAACACAGGCTCACTCGGTAGGCATGCACTCACTCGGTAATAGATATAAATTCACTCTGTAGTAGAAACGAACTCACTGGTAATAGACACGAAATTACTCGGGATTAGACACGAGCTAACTCGGTAGGCACGTACTCACTCGGTAGTAGACACGAAATTACTCGGGATTAGACACGAGCTAACTCGGTAGGCACGTACTCACTCGGTAGTAGACACGAAATTACTCGGGATTAGACACGAGCTAACTCGGTAGGCACGTACTCACTCGGTAATAGACACGACATTTACTCGGTATTAGACACGAGCTAACTCGGTAGGCACGTACTCACTCGGTAATAGACACGAAATTTACTGGAGATTAGACACGAGCTAACTCGGTAGGCACGTACTCACTCGGTAGTAGACACGACATTTACTCGGTATTAGACACGAGCTAACTTGGTAGGCACGTACTCACTCGGTAGTAGACACGACATTTACTCGGTATTAGACACGAGCTAACTTGGTAGGCACGTACTCACTCGGTAGTAGACACGAAATTTACTCGGTATTAGACACGAGCTAACTCGGTAGGCACGTACTCACTCGGTAGTAGACACGACATTTACTCGGTATTAGACACGAGCTAACTTGGTAGGCACGTACTCACTCGGTAGTAGACACGACATTTACTCGGTATTAGACACGAGCTAACTCGGTAGGCACGTACTCACTCGGTAATAGACACGAAATTTACTCGGGATTAAACACGAGCTAACTCGGTAGGCACGTACTCACTCGGTAGTAGACACGAAATTACTTGGTACTTAGTAATAGGTGGAATGATATAGTATGGCGTTAAAATTAAACTTTGATCATGAAAAATAGAACAGACACGTACCTGGGCTTGTATTGCAACATAGAACGCTCCTTTCTTGAATGGCAGCATATCCAGGTCTGTACTAGTACTACGTGTGCCTTCAGGGTACATCCATACACTGGTCTGAATACAATAACAATGAAAATGCGACGACTAGTGAAATCTGGATCAGTTTGACGGATGTGTCGTTCATTTGCATATATTATACGTCATTTTGTATGTAATGCCATAAAACTGACAAGAAAAAAGTCGGATGGACCGTCGCTTTAATGAAGATAACGTTTGCAAATTAATAAATATACGAAATGTAATAAAGCCATTATCAATAGTGTTTGATATGAGATTGGGTGTTATATTGTTTATATTTATATTATTAGTTACTCTGGTCCTTTTTTAAAGTGGGGTAATTTTAGTCAAGAAAAACTTCTTGTCACGTGTCATTGAACAGTTGATTATGTGTTCCTGGGAACAGGAAAGTTGAGTGGGTGACTAATATTATTTAGGTGGTCATATTCAGCAGACTTAATAACATTAAATGATCTTATCGCATTTATATATATATATATATATTGTGCCAGGCGACAGTTCCGGACATTGAGTGTCACTGTTGTCTCTCCTGACTTTTTTTCTGTAAATGCAAATTGCAAGTGCTAGTGACGACACATAGATTTTATCGCATTTACGATATCGTTATCACAACCAGATTTAAAAAATGAAGTGGGGTAGTTTCCCACGAGATACTGTGTGAAGTCTGAAGATTTGCGCCGTGGGGCGGGTCGCGGTCATGTCTTCGATACAGAAAATGTGATACCAATTTTACCTTTGCTTACATATCAGATCACTCGGTCCCGATATCAAAAGTTATACTATTATGGCAATGTGAAGGACTTAGTTACACGGAGATTTTTTTAATTTCGGCTTATCCGTACTATTCTCACTAGCAAAATGTCCGAATATTGGGCAGTCGGGTGGGACTTCCTAGTACTAGTAATTGCCGTTGTCTCTCGCGAAGGGTGATAACATACCCCATAGTGCTCACTAGTAAAATCATACATCATTGGGTTACCTCTGTTGCGTGAATAAAAACTACAACATTATTCTTGATATTGCTACAGCCAGTAGTTGATGTAATTTAGTCCATGACATCATTGCACTTAAAAAAAACGGTTATTTTACTTAATCTTTCCTTTAATATAGCTTATGACATATACAATACATACGAGCCCGCGTACAAATGTATTACAGATTTCACGTAATTTTATGTCAACATTTGGGGACCTAATAATTACTGTCATAATTGCTGTAGTTTGTAATGAGAGCGAGGCTGGGATTTCAGAAGTACACGCAGACTAAGTGAAGCGCTACAGCCGTTGTGTCCGAAATAGGTCCCATGTGATGATGCTTAAAGGAAATTCAAACGCCGCGCTGTGACGAAGCTTAAAAAATGCTTTCAGTTTTGTCGCTGAGGGCAGTCTAATTCGGCATGAAATAGAGCTACATCACGGTAAGTAAGTACATGTACAATCATAGACCCTACTGGAGGGTCTATGGTACAATGTATGTATAATAAATAAATTCTGTAACGTTACCTTTTTCTTTTTAATAATGTTCACAATGTTGTCTGTAGTTTCTTTGGCGTTGGTGGCGTTGCGCCGGTCAACGAAAATGGTTCCACATAACCACGCCGCAATACCAAAAGTACCTGCGTATAATAACGACTTTTTCGCCACCATTGCGCACCGCTGTGGCCATATCTCCATAGCTCCTGTGAAAGAAAGCGTGGTCATGACAACCTGGTTCCCTTGAGATGCAAAAGGCGAATAAAAACAAATAACATAGAATTCTATACTTATGGTGACAATTATTGATCAGATCAGAATAGTTATATTTGGGAGAGACACTCACCAATTTGGTCCATAGTACTTTGATGATTTCCCACCAGTAGACGTGGTTCGTCTGCGTCCAAATAGTGTAGATTTTTTACGTTGGTTTTTACATCAAATATTTCCTTTGTACACAATGTCCTGATCCAAAAAGTAAACCATCTGGAAATAAAGTAAAAAGTAAAGACCGTCGGATCCTGAAATTTGGTAATCGGGGAGCCGAGGAAATGTTTTTGTCAGCCGAACGGGCCGGCGCGCGTCTGTCACGCCTCTCCCTAAATCCGCGCATGGTAATGATAAGTCCCTTCCTTAATTTATTTCCTTCGTTCCACCTCCAGTCCCGCCATCCTTCCCTCCCTCTTCTTCAAAAATAATTTGCCGTTCTTTCGCAACTTGACCTGTTGTTTTGTCTATACTCGTTCCTTCTGTTTTAAGCAAATAGTTGCCAACTTAATAAAACAAATGTATTATCATGATATACACATTGCCCCCATGCCCTTCATACATACGGGTAGTTGTCGGCGTAAACAGACCTCCATCGGTGTGCCCATGGTGAATGCTATCTTTTTGTGTAAACGTCCTATCGAACAGGGTTCCAAGGTACAAGTGTCACATGACTTGTCAATAAAAGATATTACAGACCAGGGTTTGTTAACAATAAGTTCAGTAAAAATATCTGTTGACCTATATTTTAATAATAGGATGAGGTAAACAGTATCGCCCACAATGTCACGTGTTTTATATTTCGCTATTTGATGGAAATAACAGTCAATGAGTGTCATTGGTTAATTTCTTCTCGTAAAGACGTCAGTATCGGGTCGTCAGTCTCCATCGTTGATTGCCAATATACAGTAATTGGTTATCTTCATCTCTGCTCGTCGCACTCATCGTGTATGCAAATTTTACTTAATTTCAGAGTAGCGTACAGGTGCAAAAATCTAACCAATCATAAGACGACTTTATAGAATTCAGGTGAGAAGGTCTTATTAAATTGGACTTTGTCGCACAAGAGATTATAACGCCCTTTTGCTGCCAATTGACAACGTTGGGATTTCGCCATTTCATGCGCGCCTGTGGGAGGGACGAATTGCAAATGATTTTCGTGCTTGCACTTCCGTTTCTACCATTGAAATGCGCTACATTACATGTATGGATTACTAGTATTGTGAGTGTACAATGAACATGACGGTTAGTAGGGTCACTAACCAATCACCGAACATTCTCGACGTGGGACGAGCGCTAGTCGGTAATCGTTCTCGTCTTGTTCGTCTTTAATGTTCGCTGTAATGTCCGGGTTCAATGCAGTTTAGTGTGACTGCTAAAGAGACACGTTGGTCGTATACTCAGGCCATGATAGGTTAAGTGTGTACACGGAGTGAGCGTTATATACTCACCTTGTATTAGCTGGATGGAATGGTTTCCACACGGCGCAAGGTATAACAAAAACACCCAATACTGCATACCATAAATTTATCAAGACGTTTTTGACGTGGTAATGTATTACCCGGCTCAATTGGCAAAGTATATACAATAAGAACACACTGCCAGCAATTAGACCGGCAATCCATTGTAGACAATTCATGTGTACCGCCAGTGGTTATACGTAGCGTTACCAACAACGTCCCCTATACGTGTGATCGCAAAACAACTGAGTAACGTCGAAAGGTTCACAGTCCACGGATGTATGGTTTAAGGTATTACGTTTGACCCATATTAACCGACAGACTCGTATAATATATCTCGTATGATGTGACGTCACACACGTATTTCCTGCGGCCATAAATGCGTGTAAGTTAAGGTGACCACATGCAGGAAGTGTGTAACTCGGGCCCCCTTGCAAACCGTCGCTTGTAACGTAGGCACGCTCCAGTTGAGTCGAAGCATATATACAAGGCAGAATTTGATTCGTCGAAAAAAAACCTGCCAGCAAACAAGCTGTTCTCTGACTGGTCTGACTGCTATGTGTTAAGGTTCAGTAGCCAATCAGGAACAATCTTCTGTGAAGATTTGCATTGCAGTAAGTATCTCTGGCGTAATAGAACCTGCCATTAAACATATGTAAATTGCTAGAAATCACCAGCGGCTCACTATAGTGGTAGTCACGGTTGTCGGCGGGGGCCATAGCGTGTCATTGTCTACAAACATGCTTCCATGAGCCTTTGCGTTTTTAGCGTGTGTTGCTATCGTCGCTTGGGACTCACTGACCGAGGCGCTCAGATCCAAATTTTAAAAAATGAGCCAAAGCGCGTATTATAGAATGTACTGTAAAATACTTTATTTTAGCTGGAATTAATTTTCGCTGAAAAAAAAAAAAACTATTTTCAATCTGTGGTACATCGTGGCCATTCCAGGATGTAAACTCGTTCTTACAAATAAATAAATACAACATCAGTATATTAGACCCATTTTATATGATATTTCAATCGTGTGCATGCGACGCAAAACTTAATATATCGCCAAATATTTTGATTTTAATTATTTCCATGAGATAGCAAATTTAGTATTTTTTGGCAAATTTTTAATTCATTATCAGGTTCAGTGTGTTTACATTTCCGCGAATTATCATTATGGCATTTTACGTCTGTCAAATAACGGCCAAATAAATACGTGGAATCATTAATTACTAAGGACCTGGCGTAGAATTGGAAATTACTCCAAATAAACAAATGTCAAATTCGGGAATAGGATAATAGTATATTTGGTTATTGATGAAATAGTAGGTTCATCGTGACCAATAATAAAATGATTGGTTGTCCAACTGTGGGCGAATCTTTTATTTCTGTGCTAAATGTGCAACACCAAAGTCCCGCTATTTATTATCATGGTTGTTCAACCATAGTCGTCTGCACTAGTATCGCGAGTACTAAGTTTGGTTTACTCAGTGTTTACTATGTTGGTAAAACCGCGCAAATTCATTTTACCGCCACTTTACAGCGGTTTTCACACAGACACCAGTCAATTCCGTTTCCCAATGACTGAAGCAATTTCACATCGACCAGACACGCCCCAAAACAGATGACGAGATTTGACAGGATCGGCCTATGCGCGTGCGTATAAAACAGCTGGTACTAATATCCTAATTTCCTAATAACTTCTTTTGCACTCGTACAATGCAAAATACATATTTAATTAGGTTGGTTGGCCATCAAGTATCATCCTATGGCACCCAATTCATATATCACCAATACCATAGTACAGAGTTATGTTAACAACGAGTCAAAAATAAGACTAATATACTAAATTTTTATTTAATTAATTGTAAGGATGAGATTACATTGTGAAATGGCCACGATGTGCCACGGATCATTTTCACTGAATCATTTCTTCAGCAAAAATAGCGAAAATTAATTCCAAGTGAAAATAAAGCATTTATAGTAAGTTGTTAATTTCAACCAGCGTTATTCAAACCGGTAAGGATGCAACATTAATTACATGTGTTACCCCTGCAATGGTTAGCGTGTCCACCCACCGTCCGGGAGATTGTGGGTTACAGTAAAGGGATTTCAAATTGATTAATCACCCGCGAGTAGCAACGAGTGAGACCTAATATTGGTACACGTGTCATTGATAGTGTAACGCCAGTGGACCCAGATGGTACGCCTGAATGGGTGTCCACTCAGAGTATGCATTCTCTATGGCAGCGTGCATTATTGTGTTTACTAGTATTATGAAGATACGATGTGAGCGATTTAGGGATATTTTCGTGGATATCATATTACTGTAATGGGAAGATAAAATAGCCATCGAAGCGTTATAAAACATGTGTATAGTAGTTTACGGACAGTCTGGCTATTTTAACTTCATTAGTCACGGTAGCAGTTACAACTGAGAAATGTGTATTAATTTAATATTCTAATACAAGGTATAATAAATAGCTATATATAAAACACCTAGACAATAATGTGTAGATAATTAAACTACCGACTTCTTGTGTGAAGCATTGAAATGATACGTTCCCTAAACACTTTGTACCATCATAGATTCTTAAAGTATGCTGGGGGTCTATGGTACTGTCAACTAAAGACACGAAACACTGCGTTTACTATACTGCATTACAACAATGGTATTTTGAAAACAGATTGACCTTAGATAATTGATTGGCCAATCTTGAATGTAGGTTAGACACCACGTGACTTTGTGAACTACCATGCTATATAAAGATAGCCTGGTAGTCATCACCGATCGTGAGGGGTCGTCATACTCTCTCGTACTGGCAATGGTTCTATGCGTAGCAATAAGGCTATGACCTATCAACCTACCAGTCACTTCAACTAATTGTATTATGATCTACTGTCTGAAGTTATCCACAATAAATAGTATGTAATATAACAACTATACCGCTGAGATCGTACTTTCCGAACACTTTTTATTGGTAATACAGTGCCGTGGCAAAAAAAAACCTCTCTAACGTCGAGCGTGGAATTTGTTATTTATTTATTTAATTATTTATTTATTTATTCTTGCAATGTACCTATAATTAAAAGCAATAAATCAAATATATTTATATTTGCCTCCATCTATGTTATGCATACAGGTCGTCAATGTCGTGGTCCCATCAATTTTTCTAGGGTGCAAGTTTGTTGATACCTCAACATGTCAAACTATTATCAAAATGGGTTCCAAGGTACAAGATTACATGCATTTAACGGATCGATAAGTTTAACAACATTTTAACAGATCAGGCTTTGTTACATTATTGACATTATGAATAGAAAAACAAATGTTTAAGAACTGTTGACCTATATTTAAGTAGACCTTATGCTGACGTAAACAAAATCGCCCACAATGAATGACACGTGCGTGGTGTGTGTTCATTTCTTGCATGGCGGTCAACAGTCACCGTAACATAATGGCACCTCGCCGCAGTTTATTTAAACCTGTGGGTCCTGAAACGCGATGACTGTATATAGACTACCGCCTCACAGCGTGGAGCATACTCACCTTGTATTAGCAGGATCGAACGGGTTCCAAACGGTGAACGGTATAACAAAAACGCCCAATAGTGCATACCATAAGTTTGAAGAGACGTTTTTGACGTGATAATGTACTACCCGGTTAAATTGGCAAAGTATATACAATAAGAATACACCGCCAGCAATTAGACCGGCAATCCACTGTAGACAATTCATGTACATCGCCATTGGTCGTATCATCCGTTCTCATCCGGGTCTCCCACGGATACACTGAATCATTGAAAGATATCGACGTACAAGTACTAGCCGGGGATGTCTGTGGTACAGTTCGTAAACAGCAAGAACCAAAACAACAGTGTAACGTATACGAGTTCACACTTCACGCAAGCTATCGTATTACGATTGGCCCCACATTAACCGCCAGTCTCGTATATTATATGACGTTACTTATGTTAATATATACGTACTTACACGTCGCATCAGAAATAGTCATGTAAAATAGATTCTCGATCGAGGCCGAGCCAGACAGCGACACAACTTTGGCATAACTCGGTGGTTAGACCAGATTTGCAGAAAAATTTCTTTCTTTTTCTGACAGTGACGAGGGAGAAAATATAATGTATGTCTCGACGATATGAATAAACTAGTATAATATTAATTATTTATCAGTACTTTATCTCGTTATTATTTGACCATCTGCTGCACGCTAACAGCCTCGCATGTAGATGTAAATTGCTTTAATTTGTCGGAGCTGGTATAATCGGCGAACAAATTTGCAATTGTCTGGATATAATGAACGTTTATCACGGTGACGTAACAAACACTCTCACCCTCAGTGTACACTTCCTCCCATAATGCATTGCATGGTACCAATATCTTTCACTTCGTCAGTATCTGGCTGCATCAAATTTGGAGGATCATCGCGTGATTGGTATGGTTTTTACAAATGTATTTTTTTACACAATGGTTCCTGCAAGTGCAATGTGACTGTCAAGTTCACTGGCAGATATGATAAGCACCACCAATTTATCTGATATGTTAAAATTGGAATTATTTGATTTTATTACGGCTTGCCCATTTGAGGTGTTGCTGCTGGTGGCATATTTTTATGTTTTATTCCTTCATATGTTTTATTTGTTTTCACATGTTCCCCATTAGGCAGTCGTTGTGCAATTATTTGTTTTCTTCTCACCCACAACAATATTTGTTCATAAAAACTTAAAGAACTTTCCCCCATTTTTTTTCAAATAGGGAACCCTTAAAAGGTTTGAGATTCGGTTTTCATTATTTTTCATTTCATTTATTACTGTGTCGAAATAACTCTCTGCTGTACCAAATAAACACACGAATTTTGATTTGCATCTTCTAACATAAATGTAATTCATGTTTCATGAAATATCACCATGTGTTATTTGGCACCCAAAGTAATTTTGGATCAGTGTTAGACAGGTTAATAAATAAAATAAAAATGACAAGAAAATACAGCTCACTCCCTCCAAGGTGTATCTGTAATAAATTCATAATACAACTGCTTCTGGAGAGAAAAAAAACGATACTCTCGATGTCCTGAACTCAGTCACTTTACTTTTCAAATTCAGATTTAAAATGCAAGCCAAATTAAAAGAATTTCGAATTATACAGAAACAAATCTGTTCATAATAGTTTGATAAGACTGTTTGGTTCATTAATTTATTGCACATCCGCCCTATGCTATTTGCGATAGCTAATTCAATAACGTTCATCGCAACTTTTGACACGGAAGTAACAAGAAATAACTTGAACCGAATCATGTTTAGCCACCCTATTATAATTTTGCGAACACAATATTTCTTAGAATGTGCTATACGAGTTAGAAATCTGTTGTTTCAAACCAACTCACTGACAAATATTATATTTCAATAGTTGTGGAAGAACTCATCATTGTCAACTCCAACCGTCGCGCGTTGAATAAAGCTGCACAGTCTTAGCCATTGTAATAGCCGAAGTACAAGGTCTGATTTATAATAGCGGTTCACAAGATACGTATAGTAATGTAGCTAATAAAATACATGCTGGTCTAAAACTTATCCGTGGTTGGGAGAATGTCGGTTTACACTCTATGAATAATGAAAGGGACTGTGAATAAACGAATAATGTTGCTGGATTACAACTATCATAATAGGTTTATAGAAATGAACGCAGTGGTTGAACAATGCCTCACCATCACGTGACCAATAGAGGCACTAATTCTTGTTGAAGGGGGCACTTCCAGTTAAGCCTAATCTCACAACAAACTTACTTTCTGGATTAAAATTACAATGGATACAAAAGATAGTTTATCATGGAACTATGGGTTTATAGTTTATAGTTCCATGGTTTAAACCATTTACTAA